TCCATGTAAAATAAAGCCAAACGTGAAAAAAAAAATCCAAAATTTCAAAATTTTTTCGAGTGGAAAATTATACCAATCAAACACACTTAATTAACAATTTCCAACAAAACAATTTTTAGGCAATTACTTTCACTGGAAATCATTTTCTTTTCACAAATTTTCCACCATTGCAATCAAATGCACCCTAAGACATTATTAAGGATCTTATGGTCCGTTTGATTGTAAGGGTGAAAAATATGTGGAAAGAAAATGAATTTCAGAGAAAATAATTGTCTAGAACTTGTTTTCCAGAAAATTGTTAATTAAGTGTGTTTGATTGGTATAATTTTCCATTCGAAAAATTTTGGATCTTTTTGTGTTCGTTTGATTTTGTTTTATATGAAAATTGTCCATTAAAGTGATAATTTTTTCTACAATTAGTTATAAAATTTGTTTCCATTACCAAAAAATAAAAAAAAAAATTTCCAAGAAAATCATTTTTTCATTAAAGTTTAGTGTTCGTTTGACTTTGTTTTACATGGAAATTGTCCACAAAATGATTTTTTTTTTTTTACAATTGCAAACAAAAAAATAAAAAAAAAAGAAGAAGAAGCGAAAGCTGGAATTCTATTTCCCACCAAAATGGTGGGAAGCCAAATTCATCAAAAAGGTAGAAAAGGTGCACGTTTGTGGATAAAATGGAAAAGTAATTGCCAAGAAAATTATGACTATCAAACAAATCAATTGGTGGGAAATGGAATTTAAGTTCCAAGTTCCAAGAAAAAACTTCATTATCAAACAGAGCCTTAGTGAAAACTTACCGCGCTAGAAGTAAATCAGATTTACTTTACTAAAAGTTTTGTTACAAACATAAATTGCCTTTGCTTGGACTTCCATTTTAGGTGCTAAAATTTTAAGTTAGTAAAAATAAGTAATAAATAAGTGAGTTGTACTTATGAATCACGTGAGACGTTTGGTTAAAATTAATATTTAATTTTCAAAGTAACCTGCTGGCATATCCAGTTCTTCCTTCATACTAATCAAGATTCCATTTCAATTTTGTACACAACTCTAACTACAAAGTCACCATACCAGCAAACATGCCTCACATACATCTAGGAAAAAGAACAAGAAACAAGCATTCTGGAAAAAAAAAATTAGAACTAAACCGACCCGAAAGCTAGAATTTCAATGTTGTTTCTTTCAGCATATAAAATCGAACAAATAGCTTCCCATGGGAACAAAACCAGGAGGTGGAGAAATTAGGGGTTCCTCGACCTTAACTGCATTCTGTTTACCTTTGTTTCTCATCTCTATAACCTTCTTGTGGGAGTTGGAGTGCTGAGATGGAACATATGTAGGACTTGCTGCTGGACGATATTCTGGAAATAGGCGTCCAGACCTGTATCGAACCCCACATGCATTGCATAGAGTCTTTGGCCCCAATGGTCCCTCCCTCCATTGTGGTGTCTTTGTCACGTCACAATGTGTGCATTTCTTTGATGCTGTAACCCTCTGCAAGAAAGTATTTTGCGGCTCTACAGAATCTGATACAATTGATGAAGCTTTAGCCTTCTGATAGGGATAGTCCATGGTTTTGTTGGAAACTGAAAGCTGGGACAATTTCTTCCTCTTGTCCTTGTTCTTCCTAAAATTTGAAGTCTTAGAGGTAGAAGAGGCAGAAGATATAGGAGAAATCAAAAGCCATGGGTTTACAGTCGAAGATCTAACTCGCTTAGATCTGGCTTGAACTGGAATGACAATGCCAGCTGAAAGCCATGTGAGAAATTTAACTCGCTTAGATTTGATCGGCATACACTTTCCAACTGAGCAGTATCTGCTGCTTTCAAGTACAGAAACGGGGCTTTGTGTCTGGAAAACACCATACTCTTGGGCCTCGGTAAATTTATGCTGGCGAAGAATAACTAAGCTGGAGGTTTCTTCTAGAAGCTGCTTTTGCTCATCAATCTTTATGGTAAAGCAATCGAACGAATGATCAGAGCAGAAACGATGGCATAATAGCAGATATACGCATAAAAATGATGATACAGCTATGTGATTTCACGTTCTAGCCATGTTAAGTTCCACATGAGATCAAAAAATTTGAACAAAGCGTGCATACAACATGGATATTTAATATATAAATAATGTTATCTAGCACCCGTCTATGTGTAAATATATAATATATCATAATAAATGAGGTATAAATTATTGTATTTAATTTAACCTATAATTTAGGGATACAAGTGATGCCACCTAGATCGGTGTTAAACACCAGTTGTGCTAAATAGCATTGCTCTTTAATATAGGGGTATCAAGGTCACCAACTAAACACCACCACCACCATCACAGAAGCCAAAAACAAAGTGAAAACCCAGCAAGAGATGCAGATGATATAATGTTAAATACCACCTTTGGTTTAAGTAATGACCAGTTCAACAGTCGGTCATAATCCTATTTTCCCGAAGGAGGGGTTTGATCTGATGATCCCACAAATATTCAGTCAGATTTGAAAAGATTGTGTGTTGGCTTTAAAGAATGTCACCCACAGAAATCAAGAAGAGCGATTGCAAAAGTAGACTCCAGACTTACCTGCTATACCTCAACAGATATAATTTGAGGTCACATATTCATTTAACGAACATGTGCAGCATATATCCATTTTCTCACATTGAACACCCTGCTGCCATATGCAAAATGTATTTTAAACTAGAAAGCTTAGCAAGTTACATCTAACTTCATGAATTCAGAATTTTATAAACGAAACATGAAGCTTCATAAGGAACAGAGCACCACACCACATGACACAGTCTCATTCTTTCACTTTATAGAAAAACTGAGTCCATGGAGATAAAATTAGAAGTCAATCTGGGAGGCAGAATATATTTTTCATCATCATCGAAGAATACCAACTTGGTAATGTTGTAATGACCTCATTACTTCCGTGACCCACTAGAAATCAGTTAGATGACAATTTTAGTCGGACAATTCCTGAACTTTAATGTCCATGGGTTTTAAAAGTATTGCTGGTGAATCATAAGGTCATTTTTTTGTATTTTTTCAAAAGACATTCAAGTTCTTAATTTCTTCTTACAGCACATTGAGTAGAATCACCTCAAAACCAGCTTCTAAGGAGGATATGCCGAAGTGCTTATAAGTCACAGGCCAAGCCTTGACAACGTGATACTTAAATCAGACTGTTACAATTCACCGCTAGTACAAATTAACATCCATGGGAATCCCTTCAGAGCTCAGTGGCTTCATGTACCAGTCTCTCAAAAGTAGCATTTGTCCATAGGTCACCACGACAGCAACAAATTTCATCCGAGATTGGGTAGAACTTAAATTGTATGAGAAGGCTATCCAAGTGTTTATAAGCCCACTAACCAATCTTAAATTTAGGAAACAGCAATGTACTCAATTAGAATTGTTACAAAACCCAACCCTCGCTTTAAGCACTGATGTCTGTGGCAACTCACACTCCCAGCTAGATGATTTCATAGACCCAACCATCCACTGGAAGCAACATGTTTAGGTTGCCCTGTCCACAACAAGGGTCATTCCCCGGTAGGTGGCTACACAAACCAAAGTTACAAGCACATCAACTTGCCTTCAAACTGGCTTCCAAGGGCAAGACACCCAAATGCTAAGCCTACAGATAGGCATTAGCTATGAGAAACTCAATTAAGATCATTTTAGCGACAGCTTGTCGGGATTTTAAGTTTGACACATCACAAGCCAGTCAAGAGGAAAAAGATTATTCATCTTTTGTCATTGCATTTCAATTTTAATATGAACTCGTGGACTCTATGCCCTACATGATTGCTCATTCCACAAAAAAAGATGAGAATAATAAAAGAACAAAAATTCAGATCCAGAAAGTATTGAAAAAGATAACTAATTAACCCCTTAATTGCAGCATATATAACACTATCCATTAATTTCACAGAACTAGGCATGTTAAACTCACTGGAGCAACCGATTTAGGCAGGGAATGTGGTAACACAGTGCCAATTTTGCCCTGTGGATTCGGTGGCAACTCCATTAATGTGTCCGTAGGAATAGGCCCGAGGCATTGTGACTTACTCATATCCCATTCTCCAACCAGTCCATCTCCTTCCAAACTCTCCATGGGAAAATCCAAAAGACTGAATATGCTCTCAAACTCTTCATCGGGCATGGCCCCATTATCAATCCCATCCCAACAGCTATTATGTTCAACCATATTCATATTCTGAACAATATACAAAAAAAATACACTGTAACACAATTAGCAAAAGCAAGCCATGTCAAGGACCAAGAAAAGATCATTGACAACCATATATCATATCTATACCTATCAATAATATAACAAAGAGGGTGATTTTATTGGTTAAGGTATTAGCAAAAGTTTTAGGAAAAAAATAAATTAATTTATCTAATAGATAGGACTAGTAAACGAGCATTTGCAACATTATCATATGGGCTACGAGAATTTTATGTAATGGAACGATTTTGAGAGAAGATACAAAGTTACAAATTTTCTTGAAAATCTTGGTGCCATTTCAAGACTATCAAAAATAGGAATCCTATGATTAAGATTCTCAGAATCATCTGTTTTGTTTATGATTTCTTCCCCTCTTGGAATATTTCTAAATTTAAATTCTAATTAATATTCCAGCAGTTACTAATTAAGTAGTTGTCAAATTAATAGTTGCCATATCATTATAATACAAGAAAAATGACAAATAAAAAATATAGTGTTAACTGGAAAATGGGTACTAAAACTAAAAATAAATAAATAAAAATCTCCAGCCCATCAAATTTTTGGTGGAAATAGAAATAGTAAATTCTAAACCAGGAAATTTAAGATAAAAAAGCACGTGTTTTTATTGAGAAAATGAGGGAAAAGTTCATTTCTTTTTTCTTATATGACACGACATCGTATAGAAGTTTCTGTGTAAACTTCTATTTCCCTTTCAGTTTCAATTCAAACCGTAGCCCTAATAAGAAGGGAAAAACCAGTGGTTCTGTCGGCTGCTGAGAAAATGCGAACAAGAATAATAAGAAATAAACATTTATCACCAAAAAAACCCTGTAGGTCCCCTAAGAAAAAAACGGTGAAAATGCACAGTTTTAAGACTACATTTTTGGAAGGAAAATGCATGCAGAAAAGGGAATGTAAAACGGGGGTAAAAGAGTGAACTTTTGCAGTCAAAGAGAGCAAAAACGTATGAAGAAATGGGTAAGAAAATGCAAGATATTGAAGTGTACTTGTCAGTACTTACCAGAACATAAACCATGTACCCTTTTCAAGTCATTAGGGTATGGAGGAGCTTCTGCAGAGAGAAAAAAGAAAAGAGCTTTTTAGCAGAAAAAAAGATAGGGAAAGAACTAAGAAGATGGGGCGGTAGGGAAAGCTATTTGTTTTACCTTATTTTCTGTCTCTATGAATTTGGCTTTGTCTGGATTGTACACACTGGACTTTGGCTAAAAGAGAGAGTACAATAGAAATGGGGGAAAAATCATAGAAAGGCTTGTCTAGTGGCAATTTTTGGGTGTGGTGGAGGTGCATGGTAACTAAAGTTGGGGTAGGGTTATGTGATTTTTGGAGGGAGGGAGGTGGTGGTGGTGGGGCCATTCGGTTCAAATATAATCTTGCAATGATTGATGAACATGTAGGGTCCACCTACTGATGGATGATCTGGCACAAAATGTTGATGTGATGGGAATGAACGATCAAGATTTGTGGGTTTGAATTTTATGATGATTACCAACAAAAATGGATTATTTCATAATCAAATAGGATATATTTTTCTAGTATTAATGCAGAAGAAAATATTTATTTTTTATAATGTAGAAAAAATGGGTTACATTAATATATTTTGTGTTGTTTACTTTCTTGAAAACCACCAATTTTAAAATGGTTCTTTGTTTCAGTTTTGAATTGTCATTTGCTTGCTAAATTAAAGATTTGGTATATTTTGATTGACTAAAGAAATCTCCATATTCTGGTTTCAAGTATCCTTCAATTTTTATTTATTTCCCAGAAAGCAAAAATGTTGGGATTTGTCGATCCTATTATTTTCTAGATCTTTGGGAGTATGTGACAAAATGGTGAAATTTGTAATTAAATTATAGTTCATTTAATCCGAACAAATTAAGTTTAGCGATCCAATTGAGATTTCATTGAGCATGGCTGAAACTAAAATTCAAATTCAATTACGTTTTTTTCATCTTTCAGCTTCATTCAAACTAAAATTACAATTTAACTTTCAAAGTCCTTCTCCTTCCATTTACAAAATGAAACACGGAGGAAAGCACCAAGAGAGAGGCAATGAGTAAGAAAACGACTTTCCCTGAGGAGAGGCCATATGAATTGTTGACTTGTTGTACGCATGCTCGTCTACCGTACTAGGCAGATTCTTCTGCATAGAATAAGAAATATGTTAGTTCTGAGAAAAAAATGGGGTAACTAGCATTCAAAATTCTGATGGTGGGGATGTGCAAGTTGAAGTAAATGTCCATATTTTTGGGTGACAGACATGAAGTGAGAATAGAGGCCGAACAATCGAGAAACATAATACATTTCCACTTTGTTAATGAAAGCACAGAATCAATAGAATAACGAATAGAATTAGATGCACAGGTACATTAAGCACGAAACATATGATGGCCAAAGAGATGGGAAGGGTAGATACTTTCGGGATTCTAGGGAAGCCTAAAGTTGAACAATCTACTGTGAAGGTGTTTCGCGCGTTTTCGCTCGCTAACAATTAAAAAAGGGGAATCAGACGATTGTGTAGGGGACAAACTTCTTGGAACAAAGTCCCAAAAGGGG